CCCTGACCTCCCCCCCCCACCTTTAGGCGTCGCCTGAATTGTCTTAAATTTTGCCCTTATTTTTTTATTATATAGAGAGATTAATCATATTACTTTAGATGTTAATCAATTAATCGGTTGTTCATCTTATCAATATAATTCCGTGCTTAAAATATTGGATTAAGAAATCCAATCCACGAATATTAAGAAACTAGAATTATTCTATTTTGCTCTGACCTAAATAATTGAAAAATTACGATTCGTTTATTCATGTTTCATAGAATGGGAATGAATTCATGAAAACCGACAATAACATAAAAAATAATTGTTTAAATAAATTCAATTGTGATTTAAAATATTCTTTCTGAAATTGATTGCATCATCTGTTGTTGAAAAAACTAATTTTGAAACCAATATTCAGGAAAAGTGAAAAAATTTTAACGTTGGGTCAGTGTTGAATTCCATAAATCATTGAATTCAATTTAAAATACACCATCATAGAAATTCCATTCCGAGGCAAATTGTTAATTTATTAGCTAAAATATATTGACCATATTGTGACGAAGATAATTTTCCACTTGTTAGCTATTGAATTCGTGATTTTCAATCGGCCAGAGAAACAGACAACTAAATTTTCTCAGCCCGAGCGAAAAGCAAGACTTCTCGCTGTCATCAGAGATTGCGTATAGAGTTGACTACCCAAGCGAAGGGGCCATTTTAATTGGCAGTAAAGTTTCAGTTGATGTCCAGCAAAAACATGAAATACAACCCAAGTCGACGAGAGTGACTGGCTTCAACTCATTTTGTTGTTATACCGGTCCCCCCCGCCCCTCCTCCCCGTTGATTTTCCATTCTACTCAGAATGTTCCCGGATGCATCATCAACAGGTGAATGTATGTGTCTGCGGAATTCTTCTAGACGAGAATGAGAATATCGTCATCGGATTTGTCCTTTCGAAAAATCTATAAATATCGATTTTCGAAAATTGTCAACAACTCATAAATCAGCGGGTTCGAGAGCTGTAATAGCGAAATTTCATGAATTTTATTTGTTTTAGAAGTAGATAATTCATGATAAATCGTGCACGGAAAAAGATATACCAGAATTGACTTTTTTAATTTTTACCATTATTTTACATCGCTTTAATTTTTTTAACCTAATATTCTGACCCTCTTTTTTTGACCCTAACATTCTGACCCTCATTCCTTCACCATTACATTCAGACCCTCAGTTTTTGACTCTAATATTCCGACCCTCATTTTTTAACCTCCACGTTTTGACCCTTATATTCTCCCACTTAGTGTCCGACCCTTATATTACACTTGAGAGTGTACTTGAGAGTGAAATATCCATCCTCCATTCGAGTATAAATTATATTTGAAGTATATCTTATTCTTAAATCAGGTTTATGCATATACTTGATTCTGATATAAAATATACTCAATTCAAGAACATTTTTTCCTCCGTGTCTGCATTAAAAGTTCTACTTTCCAAATAGTTTGTTTAATAAAAAGGACATGCATTAAAAAAAGAAATTTCGCTCGGATGACTCTATTTTAAATAATTTCAAGATTTTATACCGAAGTTACCATTGGTCATCACCAATGGTTAACCTCAATTTATTCTCTCCACTCGAATACTCGAACGTAGCGCCTCGTAGTGACTCAACTACAAAGTATGGGGAGTTGTGACGTCATTATCCCCTTCGTATGCCATTTTTTTCAGAATTTTCATTACACGAGGTCGGTCGTGCGTGCTACGCACGCGCCTTCTCATCTCCTCACGTAGTGGCGCTTCGGTTTCAGTCTTACGCTTACGCCTATTCGAGATTTTCGAGATATTTCGAGATCGATTTCCTTTCTCGTTTTTACGATAGGATAAACAAAATAACACAGCTGCGGAATTTTTCACGTATTGATCTTCTCGAGGTGCAAAGCTATATTTCAATAACTTTTTCATATAAATAAAATGGACGGAGTATCCCTATCTGTGTGACTGCATTCTTAGAACAATTTTTCTCAAACTGCGGTTACGCCCACGATTTTTTTTTAACCACCTAATTCACTTCCTGATTGCGTTAAGGCCCCTTTTGGAGGCTGAGGAAGATTACGGTTAATTTGTGCTGGGCGGTTGAGCAATCGATGGGATAATGACACTTTTTTTTTCTCGTGCGGAAGAATTTTTGGTTATGTCAAAGCGGTGAGAGGGTCGAACTTCTTGGTAAAACTCGTATCGTGATGTACTGCAGCTGACTTTCTGTATAAGATACGTCGAGCTCCGAGGGCCTGAGGACAATCTCTACTGTATGCACTTCTATCGCCTCGAACGACTGAAGCGATCGCAAGGGTCAAATGACCTTGAGGGTCAAACGTTTTCAAGGGGCAAAGGGTCTCAATGACCCTTGTGATCACTCCACGTCTCTCCCGTTATATTCAGTGAGGATATGTTCGAAAAAACAGACGGAAAGAGGACTTGATGACATAATAATATTTAAGCACGTATTGAGTCATTAATTATCGACATTTATTAATCCGACGCAAAAATTTAATTGAATAAGAGAACAGCGGAGGAGGTATCTCTCTGTATTACAAAAATCCAAATCGACTTCTGGTGATGAAAATTTGGTAATCCAAGATAAGACTCCAAAATTAAGGGTTCGACATTAAGGATCAGAAATAAGGGCCGCAGGGGTCACACAATTAAGGGTCAGGAGGGTCAAATGGGGGTGAAAAATGAGAAATTGAGTTATTCTTCATTAAAAAAAGCTTGCACTTGAAATTGTCATGGCTGAGGCCATGGAAGTGTCACGGCGACGGGCGAAGGACCCATTTTCATGAGAATGAGCCATGACAACGACACCAACGGCGCGGCCGCTTGCGGCGTTAGTATCTTATATAAAGAGTCGACTGTATTTTTGAAACTAACATCCTCTAATTAAATCCTCCAAATAAGCATTCCGGTGATCACGAAATGACAATGGGATGCGTGAGCCTGCGAGCGGCTCTACTTAGTGATGTTTGACGAGTCAAGATGGCAGCTGTTCCCTAAGTCATCAAGAAGGATAGGTCGGACTTCTTTGCGGAGATTCAAACGAGACAAAGAGACTCGTCATGGGTCGAATGAATGAGGGAGAGGGGGAGAGAGAGAGGAAACCTTCAAAAATGCTGGAGATGGCCTTGAGGGGATCGAGACGCCTCGAGATCGGATTCATCCGAGCGCGCCTCGATTTAGGCATCATGCGATCTGTGCATTAACGATGGAAGACTTTATCGACCTCTCGGAACGTTTGATCCTACAATTTTCGGAGGCATTGCGCAATAGGCAACTCATGGGTGCTTATCTACACTCGGCTAGGCTCAATCGTATAGGTGTTGTATTTATTTATTTTTTCCTGGTTTCGCCCCCCGGCGCCGGCTTCTGAGTAAGCAAATTATAATCACAAGACGGATTTTCTGCTTAGAATCATAACGCCCACTTCAACGAATTGTTGGTAATGGGTTTTTGAATAGGTCGAGGTGAGGGAACTTTTTTTTTTCTGTTGAAGACAGGAGATTGGAACGAAATCATTATTTTGGAAAAGACAGTTTGGTGAATTTTTTGCTCTTATCAGAAATCAATTTTCTGTTGAAAATTTGGTCAAAAAATTATTGAAAATGAAAATGAAAAACTATTTTTTTTACAAAAAATCCTTTGACAAGAATTTTATTGTGAAAAAAAATGTCGAATGAAAAAAATCTGACAATTTTTTTTTTGAAATTTTTGTCTCTCAAAAAGAAATATTTTACATTCTTTTCCTTAAACGAAAACCAATTGAAATTTTTAGATCCAGTTATTTACTCTTGTCCAGGATCAGTTGCAATTTTTTATTAAAAAATAAAAATTTGCAAATTTTCATTTTTCAAAAAAAAAAAAATTTCATGTTCAATTCTTTTTCTCGAGAAAAAAAAATTCGAAACCCAAAATCCTCAATAGTTGTATTAGGTCATGAAATTCCCCCACACGTGTGAAGGCATTGGCAGTGAAAAGCGTTTATGGTAACGTGGCACTTGCCTTTTACGAGCCGACGATTACTCAATTCCGTTGGCAACAGTTCAGAAAGCAAAACGAGAAGAAAAAACGCGATAACAAAAAAAGGCAAGAGGTATAGGATGAAAAAAAAAGTCTAATGTGATTGGGGCGTTAGGTCATTGCCAGTGAGCCAAGAGGGAAATGCACTCGGCGAAAAAAAAAAATACCTTTGAAAAGCGGATGAAAAAAGGGATCTAAATGAAGACAGGTTACTTGGCCTTAGGATGTGACCCATATGCACTTACGTAACAGCGACCTTGGGAGCCATGGGACGCGACTCGGAGACACAGGAAACCCAAAAGATCCTTTTTGTTTCCTCTACATTTTTATTTCAACTTGCGATGGAAAAAGGGAACCTGAAATCCACACACACATCCATATACCTGTGCATGTGCGTGCGGTAGAAGTGGTCTAAACGTAAACATAGAAGTGAGTGAAAGAAAGAGACGAAGTAGAGAAAAAAAAAAGAAACCGGTTGGAATTGGTTTGCATTTCGTGACGTAAGACGAATGAAAACAGATGGGAGTTTTGATTCTTTTCGAGTGGTGAATTCATCGGTGATTAATTCTCTTCCTTCACGATTTTTTTCTGAAATTTCATTGATATTTCTGATTTACTTACCCTTCTGGATTTGTCCGTGGTCAGCGTTCATCTTGGCCTGCAACAGGAAATGCTGAGATTACGAAGTAGAAAGGTTATTCTATTGGTGACTGAGGGATGTAAGGAGATCCGAGTGGGTTTTCTGGGATATCGGATTGAAAAGTTGAGATAGTCTTTTGGATCATTCGACCACAATTTCGTCTTGTTTTGATCATAATTCGTTAAATTCTGATTTTAGCAGGAAAAGTCGTAAGACACAAATGTAGAGAAAAAAATTTTCTATAGAAAAGGTTTTTTGACATTTTCTCGTTGCTATAATGGTTAAAGAGATATTTGCAATTTTTTGAATTGTGAATTATGAATTCGGTAGAGCCAAGTCCGGTAGAGTTGAAAGTCTACCGGCGATCGTGACTACTGACCGTTACCTGAATTAATTTATAGATGAGGCAGTGAGGAGAAATTGTACTATTTGTACTCAGGGATAAGTCTACATCCGTCAAATCTACCAGTAACCTATTGTCTGCCAACTCTACCAATTCTACTCGTCCTCTTTATTTCACTTCTATCCATTCATAGGAAGAAAAAAGAGAACCAGTATAGCTGGTAGAGTTGACAGCCGGTAGATTGCTAGTAAGTTTGTAAATCGGTAGAGTTGCCAACCCATAAGACTCGACGGTAGACTTATCACTGGGTAGACATATTTTGATTTAAATTGGCTCATCCGTAAATTAGTAGCGGTTAAGTTGGATAGCGACATAAGAGCTATAGGTCTACCTAAATCTACCGAAATCAATGAAAATCTACCGGCGATCATGGTAGATTTGTTATTTTCATTTTTATGTAGTATCTTCGTTTTTCGATGTACTCAGCATCCGGTAGACTTGTTATGATACGCGTCAACATTGGTAGAGTCGTCCAGCAGAGCCTTGATTAGGGTAGACTTGTTATTCTACCGGAAAATAATTTCTCGCTATAACTCGAGAAATAATGAACCAAAATGGGTCGTCATACTGAGTTTTCCAGCTGAAATTTCCCGAGCTTTCCAACGGCATGATCCATTTTGCCCCACAGACGTTTCGATTGGTTATTGATTTTTTCTTTTTGTAAATATATTCGTCGAATGATTATTCGATTGGGTGATTTTTTTTCCGCGGGAAATGGGAAAAATACTCGGATCTCCTTACACTACCCGTCCTCCAATAAAAAAGGAATATAAACCAACCTCGTATCCCTGCTTGGCACCGCGTCCCGTGCCCCAGTAATCTGCATCCTTTTCATGTGGATTGCATTGCTAAAACAAAAAAAAGGAATCCGATAATTGATAAAAAAAAATATATCACGGAATTAATTAATCTTCATTCGAGTAAATATTAAAATGGTTCCACAATTATCGAGGTGTTTCGAGGAATTATCGCAGATTTGTAACCCAATTATTCATCATAAATATTTCATCAAAGCTGTTATTCAAATTTTAATTCGATAAATGTATGTTAAAAATGGAGATTCCTCCGTTGACATAAAAATTCAACAGTGATTAATCGATTCCAGAGTTCAATCCGAGGGAGTCATTGCGAATGAACAATTAATTTATCATGACAATTGAAAAATTTAATTTTGAAAAATTATGAAATTTTTTTCTCACAACTTTTTAATGGAAAATTACACTGAATAATTCCCATGTGGAGGAAAAATAATTATTATGATTAGCAACAATCTGAATATTCCCCTTCTCTATTCACCCCTCAAATAGAAAAAATAATGCCGCGTACCCATCATCATTCCGAACAAAGTGAATATTCAAAAAGGACAATGGGTAATATGAAACAAAAGGTGAATTTTCATATTTCGTCATCATGAATTGAATAACCCTTTTATTTCAGAGTGAGGAACAAGAAACGACTCTGTGATTTTAATTATTATTTCACACCCTATTTTATTAAGTGTCCCAGGATAGTCTGACTAAACTTGGTAGAAAGAAAGAAATTATTGTTTCATTTTTGAAATGAATATTGAGTCTTAAAGCAGTTGAAAGAAGGGACTTTTGCTCTTTGTCGTTCGCGTTGCTGGTGACTCTGTCTCGGTTGGACCAGTGGAATTGTCACGGGAGGATATTCAGGGGTCAGGGGATGGGGTTACCCCAACTGGCTACAAACTATGCGGGACTTTTGCCATTTACTGGTGTGCAGTCGTTCCCCTCTTCAAACTCCACCCTTTTTGGATTCTCACTCTTTATTTCTCTTCAATGCCTGATGCGATACGATGATATGTAAGTCATGGAATTTGTAAGCGGAAACCAGATTTGTTTGCATTCACTTGCTTCTATTGTTAATTTTTTTTCTGTTTTTTTTTCAATTTTTAATTTTTTTCTTTTTCTTTTTTATCCTTTTTTGTTTTTTTTTATGTCAGTTTGCGTCATTTTTTGACGAGAACGCAAGTTCATGAGAGTCAGAAGGGTCAGAAAAAACGAATAAGATTGAAATTTTTCTGACCCACGTGACCCTCATCACCATTTTTATTTTAATTTTAAAATTTTATAGGTTTTTTTTTATTATTAATTTTGTTGTCCATTTCAATTTTTAAAATTTTCATGGTTAGTACTATTTCTTTTTTCCATTTGCTATCTTCCATTTGTTAATTAAAAATTTATTTGTTATAATAATATTCGTAATTCTTTCATTTATTTTTTTTTTCACAATTTTTGTTTTTTTATTCATCTCAGTTCGCGTCATTTTTTGACAAAAATGAGGTTTATGAGGGTCACAAGGATCCGAAAAAATGAATGAGATTAACACTTTTCTGACCCACATGACCCTTATTATCATCTCATATCCTAATTTCATAATCGTATAAGGCTTTTTCTCTATTTTTATTACTATTTTCATTATTATTATTCTACCTTGATGGTTATATTATCCAGTTTACTTTCATCTTATCCGATTAATCTTCCTATTTCAATTATTCAAAAGTAGTATTCTTCCAAAAACAAGAATCAATAATATCTCAAGAAAAAACCTCCCATCAGCTCGAAAAAACTCCCCACCCAAACGCCGTACGAAAAAAAAACCTCTCAAAATAAAGAAGAGAGAAAAATCCGAGTGAGTGGCAATCGATTGGGCGCGCAGGGGTACGAGCCAATTCTAACCTTAGAGCGATGGAAAAATAAAACGCGAAAAAAATCCCCTGAAAACACCCGGGAAAATCAGAGGAGAATATAAAAAAAGAACGACAAAAATTGGTTTTAAAAAAATACAACGCACGCTCGCTTCTTCCTGTCTGCCACGAGAATAGAACATGGCGGTGAAAATAATGTCTTCCCTGGAATGAAAAAAAAAAATGAAAACAAAAAAAAAGCAGCTCACAAAAAATTCAAGATGGCGGACAGTGCGATATCCGGTTTGAAGGCATCACTCAATATTTTTTTTTATCCCCTCACCCGGAAGATGTGGAGAAAAAAATGGTGTGTCCGCGGGAGAGAGAAGAAATCCCCATTGAGTCGCATCCTCTCTGAAGAGGAAGGAATAGACAAAAAAAAAAAAATTCTTGGACATGAAATTTTCTCACCATGGGGATAAGTGGAGTTGGATGCCACCTGTAGAGGGCAAAAATGGACGTTCCATATTGGGCCAGTATATTTAGAGCACCCCATTATGAGTCTCCCCCCGTTGGTTCACATGTAAGGGGATTTGGAATACATTGAATGTCTTTCGGGTCCAATGCCCTCCCGGTGGAGGACAGCCAAAGGATATCAGTTTCTTTCCGTTTTTGTTGATGACCTCGTTTCCCTTCTCAGGACCCAGGGAAAATCTTGGGCTTGTACCCTTGACTCTCGTCCAATTACTCATGTTTCCAGCGAGAGTTGCTCTGGGGTGACGACGATACAGTGGGAAATTGGTATTTTAGAGGATCAGAAATTCTTATCGATTTTTTTTCTGAATAGGGACACTTCATCGATAATTTTTAATTCTTAGATCCGATCATCTGCGCCGAATGATGCCTGACTTCAGCAGTTAAACTATTCAAATGGTCTTTTCTCATCACAAAAAAATTCAATTGCACAATTTTCATCAAGAATTCCTCAATTCATCTTCCGCCAACAGAAGCTTCGATTCACACAACTACCGCATCGTCCCAATAAGAAAATCAGTTGAATTAGTAAAAAGATTGCTATTCAAGAAATCAACGAACTTTGCCCTTGAAATTTCAATACTCCAGTGACTTTTCATACTTTTCTCATCAACTTCACTCTCTCAATTCACCAGGCACAATTTTCCTCATTCGCTGTGACAACCTGAACTTCCACAAACTTCGAGAATTTTCCGCCCTCGAAGATGCGAGAGAAAAAAGTCGGATAAGTGAATTCTCAGAGAGTTTGTAGATAAAATTATTTTTGTCAGAAAAAGTGTTTAATGAAGTGGTAAACAGGAGAATTCTCTCTCATGTTTCATTTTTATCAGACAGATAATGATTCATCCGAGAAGAAAACTGTCTCTCTTATATTTCTCAGGTCTCAGTTTTCTTGTGATGAATAGCGGTATGTTCGAACGAATTTATGAGTTTTCGATAAGAACGATTTGAAATACATTTTCAAATTCTCAATTTTTCACTCGTCAAGATTGTTTCCCGAAGAAGCTATATGCGCAGCTTCCGGTCTGAATTTTCTATAACTGATTGCTGACTTATAGCTGATGAGTCTATCCCTGAATTCACTGACTTGTTCCGCTTGTGTACATGAGCTATGCGAGATAAGTCGACTTATCTCGAGCAGCGGTCCATTTCGACGAAACAAGTCGACTTATTCCCGACGATTACCCATCGATTGACCGTAAAAAATAAAAACTATAACTGATGCAAAACGAACAAGTGTAATAGTCAAATGAAGAATCATTCAATATGAGAAGATCAACAACTATTTTCTACTGACAATTACCAGAGGTAACGCGTTGGGTTGTGACTCCGTAAGTTATAGGTTCGAACCCCCCTCCAAAAAAAAAATTCAATTTCTGCAAACTTATAAACCCAGTAATTAACAATTTTAAATAATTGCATGGCACTGTTGCATATATACTGCCTACACCATCGCCTAATAACAGTATACTATACATATACATATTTTTTTTATATAAAATTCCCAAAAATCAATTAGTTTCTGTACATGAATCAGTTTAGTTCAGTTTTTGGCTCCGGTACTAGGTGCCCTATACTACTCTCAATATGTACTTCATTTTATATATATGTTCACACTAGTTACTGCAACAAATGTACATTTGTATATACTACTTATTATTCTAGTTTAAGCTCTTCTCTGATACTATGTATTTAACAAGATCCCCCCTGCAATGGGACTGTGTATCTTAAATGCAGAAATAAATAAATAAATAATAATAATAATAATAATAATAATAATAATAATAATGATATATTTTTTTATATATAGAAATCGGCAAAAATGCTGTATAGCACTTGTATGTAGAATATATGCATTTATACGTTTAATATATGCACGGAGAGAAATATTCAATAAAAATTATGTATCTTTTCGTGAGAAAAGACCGAACCGAGCGNCATCACTCGCGTTCGGCTCATGCTGTAAACCCCACACACGTTAAAGACGATATTGCCCCACACGTGCTGAAATATACTATTTCATCACAAGGTCCACAAAGTATTTTCTGACGAATGTGGCTTTGCAGGCCGAGCCGAAGGCAAGGTCTATAATCACATTCGTCAGAAAATACTTTTGGACCGTGTGATGAATGCAATTTTTCGTCAGAAGGCCCGTAAACCGCGATCAAACCGAGCGAAGCGAGGTTAGAATCGCGGTTTACCGGGTCTTCTCACGAAAATAACTATTTTCGTAATTCCGGAGTGAAATGTGGTTGTAGGAAATTTTACGGAACTATCACGGAATTGCCGCCAGAGGGACACGATGTGCAGCTTTGAACTCTTTCAATATAATTAATATGAAAAGGTACCCATGAAAGGAGAATGAAGGTATAAGTCGGCTTAGCTCGCAGGATGATAGTTGAGAATGAAATTCAGGACTTATTCCGTTTTTCACTTGAATAAAAATCAGTAGCGAAGTAGTAAAACAGTACAAGTCAATTTTGACAATTAACCAGTTTTCAATCAATATCTCGGAATCTAAAGGAGATGGCGAAAGTTTCGTAATTACATTTGTTGTAGCACTCAATCGGCTCCACAAAAACGGTTATAACAAGAATTTTGCTATCTCCCTTAGATTCGGAAATATTCCTCAAGAACTCAACTGGGAGATTAGTCGACTTAAACTGT